CAAGAGAAAGAAATAAAAGGCATCCAAATAAAGAGATGAAGTCAAACCATCTCTCTGCAGATCACATGACTCTATACCTAGAAAACCCCATAGTCTCTGCCCAAAGGCTCCTAGATCTGATAAGCAACTTCAGCAAAGTTTCAGGATACAAAACTCAATATACAAAAATCAATAGCATTCTTATACATCAATAAAGCCCAAGCTGAGAACCAAATCAGGAATGCAATCCCATTCACAATAACCACAAAAAGATTAAAATACCTATAAATACAACTAACCAGGGAGGTGAAAGATGTCTACAATGAGAATTTTAAAACACTGCTGAAAGAAATAAGAAATGACACAAATAAATGGAACAATATTCCATGCTCATGAATAGGAAGAATTGATATTGTTAAAATGGACTTACTGCCCAAAACAATGTACAGATTCAATGCTATTCTTATCAAACTACAATATTTTTTACAGAATTAGAAAACAAAAACAATTCTAAAATTCATATGGATCCAAAAAAGAGCCTGAATTGCCAAAGCAATCCTAAGCAAAAAGAACAAAGCTGGAAGCATCACACTGCTTGACTTCAAACTATACTACAAGGCTATGTAACCAAAACAACATGGTATTGGTACAAAAACAGACAGACTAATGGAACAGGTTAAAAATCCAGATATAATGTACCCTACAACCATCTGATCTTTGACAAAGTCAACAATAACAAGCAATGGGGAAAGAGCACCCTATTCAATAAATGGTGCTGGAATAACTGACTAGTCATATGCAGAAGATTCAAATTGGACCCCTTCCTTTCACCATATACAAAAATCAACTCAAGATGGATTAAAGACTTAAATGTAAAACCTAAAACTGTAAAAACCATAGAAGAAAACCTGGAAAATATCATTTTGGACGTAGGCTCTGGCAAATTTTTCATGTTGAAGACTACAAAAGCAATTGCAGCAAAAACAAAAATTACAAATGGGACCTAATTAAAGAGCTTCTGCACAGTAAAAGGAACTTTCAGCACAGTAAACGGCCTATAGAAGGGGAGAAAATATTGGCAAACTATGCATCTAAGAAAGGTCTAATATCAAGAATCTATAAAAAACTTAAATCAACAAGCAAAAAACAAACAACCCAATTTTTTTAAAAAAGGGCAAAGGACATGAATACATACTTCTCAAGAGAAGACATACACATGGCCAACAAGCATATGAAAAAATTCTCAACATCACTGATGATTAGATAAATGCAAATCAAAATCACAATGAGATACCATCCCACAACAGTCAGAATGGCTATTGTTAAAGCAAAGAAAAAAACAAACAACAACAACAGCCGCAACAAAAAACTAGTGAGGTTGCAGAGTAAAGGAATGCTTACACACTGTTGGTGGGAATGTACATTAGTTCAGCCACCATGGAAAGCAGACTGGAGATTTATCAAAGAACTTAAAACACAATCATTTGACCCAGCAATCCCATTATGCAGTATATATCCAAAGGAATATAAATTGTTCTACCATAAAGACACATGCATGTGTATGTTCACTGCAGCACTATTCACAGTAGCAAAGACATAGAATTAACCTAGATGCCCATCAATGGTGGACTGAATAAAGACAATGTGGTATATATATACCATAGAATACTATGCAGCCATATAAAAGAAATAAGTGTCCTTTGCAGCAACATGGGTGAAGCTGCAGGCCATTATCCTAAGCAAATTAATGCAGGAACAGAAAACCAAATGACACATGTTCTCACTTATAAGTGGGAGCTAAACATTGAGTACACATGGACACAATGAAGGGAACAATAGACACTAGGGCCTATTTGAAGGTGAAGGGTGGGAGGAGGGTGAGGATCGAAAAACTACCTATTGTGTATTACACTTATTACATGAGTGACATACCAAATGCCCACAACATGCAATTTACCCATGCAACAAACCTGCACATGTACTCCCTGAACCTAAAATAAAAGTTCGAATAAAAATCTCTTTATGACATACGAGTCACACTGGATCCTTTTTATCCATTCTGAAAGTCTTCTGTCTTATAGCTGCTGTATTTAGACCATTTACTTGTAATGTAATTATTGATATAGCTGAATTAATATCTACCATATTTGTTACTGTTTTCTATTCATTACCTTGTTTTTTTATTATTTTGTCTTCCACTTGTTTTCTACTTCCTTCTATTTAAGTTGAATATTTTGTATGATTTAATTTTTTCCTATTTTAGTGTATCAATTATACTTCTTTTTTACCCTTGAATTTACAGGATACATTTACAATGAATCTAATCCTTTTTCAAATAACACTATACCACTTACTTCTTTTGGTAGTACAAGTATTTTATAACAGGGTATTCCCAATTCCTCCCTCCTATTCCTTACAACATTGCTGCTATTCATTTCACTTATCAATAGGCTATAATTTCTGAATAGGTAATTAAGAAAAATAAAATATTTTATTTTACTTTTATTTATTCCTTTTCTATTGCTTTTCCTTGCTTTACATAGGCCAGAATTTCTGACCTGTATAATTTTCATCCTTTCTAAAGAATTTCTTTTAACATTAAAAAAAAAAGCAGGTCTAGAGGTGACAAATTCCCACAATTTTTGTTTGTCCGAAAAAGTCCAATTCTCTTTCGCTTTTGGAGGACAATTTCACTGGATACAGAACTGTAGTCAGTTGTTGTTGTGGTCCGATGTTGCATCCCCCAAATTTCATATGTTACAATCCTAACCTCTAGTGTGATGGTATTAGAAGACAGAACCTTTGGGTGGTAATTAGGTCATGAGGGTGAAGCCCTCATGAATGAGATTAGTGGTCATAATAGACATGAGATGATCTATCCCTACCATGAGAGGATACAAGAGGGCCACCTGCAAACCAAGATGACTGTTCTCACCAGACAATGGATCTGTTGGCATCTTGATCTTGGGCTTGCCAGCCTCAGAACTGAGATAAATTTCTATTGTTTCATTAAGCAGTCTAGTTTATGGTATTTTGTTACAGCAGCCTGAGCTGAGACAGTGGTTCTTTAAACCCTTTAAATATTTCACTCCACTCTCTCCTTTCTTGCATGGTTTCTGAAGAGATGTCTGATGTAATTCTTATCCCTGCTTATCTATACATAAGGTGTTTTTTTCCTGTTTTTTTTTTTTTTCAAGATTTTTTTCTTGGTCTTTGATTATTTTGGTATTTATCCTTCCCAGTATTCTGTGAGCTTTCTGGATCTGTGGTTTGGTGTCATTAATTTTGGGAAATTCTCAGTCATTATTGCCTCAATACTTCTTGTGTTCCTTTTTTACTTTTACTTCTGATATTCTCATTACACATGTTACATACCTTTTAAAATTGTCCTGCAGTTTTTGGATATTTTGGATATTTTGGAATTTTCATGCTTTTTTGCTCTGCATTTAAGTTTTACTAGTTTCTATTGACATTGTTTCAAGCATACTGACTCTTTCCTCAGTTGTGTCTCACCTGTTGGGTAGTCCATCATCATTCATTCTGTTACAGTGTTTGATTTCTAGCATTTTTGTTTGTTTGTTTCTTAGTTCACATCTCTCTGCTTATATTATCCATCTGTTCTTGCATTGTCCAATTTTCCCATTAGAACTGTCAGCATATTAATCATAGTTGTTTTAAATTTCTATGGAAATATATGAAAGGTGTGTCAGAGAAGGCAGCAGTTGAGTTGAATCTTAAAGAAGTAGGGGCTGCCAGGTGAAGGAGATGCTGGGCCGAGAGAATAAGTGGCTTTTATGAGAGAGTGGCATGCTCAGAAAACTGAAAGTATTGTAGCATAGTGAGGAAGTAGACTGCCAATCCTCTTACTTTGGATAAAACATCTTATATTTGTATCAAATACAAGGAGTGCAATTATGGACCAAGGTAAAATTGTTTAGGTAATATCTCTGCATCCCTTCATCTTCCAGGAAACTGGTTTATCACCTTTTTTGGTCATTCACAAAGACAATAAATTCCAGAGTTTACAGTCTCAAACTCAGACAATTGAAGATTCAAATGACATTTCACTGAATTAAAAATAAATATTTTCCCAGAGTTTAGGCTTTTGTCCTGATCTATGTGGATAATGCCAACTGAATTTTGAGTACTCTTACTCCATCCCAAAGTCAGCTATAATAAATGCTATGATCCAGAACATTAACCTCCAGCTCTCCCAAGCCCAAGCACCTACCTGGCAGAGGGCATCCCAAAAGCCAGTAGACTTCTGCTCTTGCCCAAGATAATCACTGAGAATGAGAATTTTATACCAAAAGTTGGGGTACTCTCTGAGAACCAGGATACTTGCCTCCAAAGCACCATTTAATGTATTTAGAAGGTAGCTATTTCCCACCAGATGTTAAAGATTCCTGAGGAAATCTATGGTCATGGTCCTTTAAAATATAATAGTTACTCTTTTAACAGTGCAGCGGGCTCTCCTTGAAAACTCTTCAGCTACTAGAAATACTGTTGAAAGTAGATCACTCAACCCCAGATCTTCATAGTTCTACCCAGCCGTAATTAGGCTGTGGCCTGTATTTTTAATGTACCTCTCCTACCTGACCCTCCCTCTGCTTAGCCTCATCCTCTAATGTATGCCATTGTTGACGTATGACCCAAGGCTGCTTGATTCTGTTTTCTTACTTACCACATCCATCCTGACTCTTTTGCCTGACATACCTGCTCCTCTGCGTGTCCTTCACAAATCCCTGCCAGTGCTCACTGCCTTATGAATGACAAACTGAGGTGCTGGACTTACTCCAGTGTCCACATGAATAAATGGCTGGAGATGTAAACTAATTTTCTGTAAAGGAAACTGTACATCTTTATAGCTTTGCTACATTTTGAGAAATAAAATGACTATTTTAAACCATAGTCCATGCATTTCAGTACCATTTTGTGCCACACTTTTGCTTTGTGCAACTGGTAACTTTTAATATACAGTATTTTTTCTAATCATTGGAAGTGCACAACTTAACACTTTATCTTATTCTGTAATCATTTTATTCAGGTATGTTTTATCCGTACAATTATGTGGTAATCTCCTAGTAGAGAGAAATGGTTCCTAGCACACCAATGATATAACAGAAAATCAGGAAATGATGTTTGTTGACTGATTCATTAAAGTGTCTAGTAGGGAGGTTAAAAATCAGTGACATATTACATGTCATTCCTACGTTGAGTTCTTAAGTTTTTTGGTGTCAAATGCATAAGTAGTTTTGGAAGAAATAAAAACTTCAGAGATTTTTTTCCATGCTGGTAAAAACTAAATATAAATATCTACTTTAATATTTTTCCGTATTTTCTCTGGATTTCTTTTTAAATCTCTGAAAGATGTTCCCACTACAGAAGATGGGATATCTAACATTTGTAGTTTATGCATATGCACGTGTAGGGGGAGAGATAGGGAAAGGGGAAGGGGAGGGCTTTCCTTTTTTTCTTTTTACCACATAAGCATATGTTATCCTTCATTCACAGTTCTCAGAGCAGTATAAAACTAGATTAACTCTCCCTTTGGAACTTCAGATATAAGGTAGGTTGTCCATCATTCTTATTGGCCTGCTCATCCTTATTTTTAGTTAGATGGAGAGCTGTATGCTTAGAGCTTTGCTGGTTAGTTTCTTCAGCTTGAAGACTCTTATATTTTAGAACATTTGCATCCATTCCAAAGCTTGAAGAAGCAGTCTCCCACTTGCTGCTGAGAGGTTTTATGTCTTCATTCTTTATGGCCCAGATTTGAGAATGTTTATTCTTCTTGGGGCCTTTGAGAGGTGATAAACTTTCCAATGACCCATGGGGCTTAGACTGAACCCATTCTGAAGAGTTTGCCATAACATCCCCTTGGATTACAAAAGGGTGATTTCTGGGTGCTGTCCAAGATGTGCTGTATTTCTTTATATTTCTGCAAGTAGCTGGATTTAGTCTAGAAAAGAAATGAAATATGTGAACTTTTGTCCATCACGTACCTACTTCGTAGTCCTAGGTATATTGTCATAGTACAAATAATATTTTTTCTTTTTAGTAAGTTCATAACTTCTTAAAAGTTTAAGACTTTTACCATCATAAGTCTTCATCTCTGATCATGATTTTTTTTTAAGCACTACTCCAATCTTGCATTTCTAAATGCCTAGAGGACATGTTCATTTGGATACCTACTCTGACCTCAGCCTTCCTAATATAACAGCCACTCTGGGCCCCAGCTTCTTACCTATATATCTAGTTAAAGTAGATGGTCACTAAAAAGTAAAGTAGTTGTTTGCTCTAAAAATCTATTCTCTTTATTCTATTAGAATGGATTCAGTATATATGCTATGAGATTTTTTTCTATAACCAGTAAAAAAATCAATGTCTGAGAGAGGGAAGTTTTCCTCGAGGGAGCTTTTGTAAACTAATAATTGCAGCCACTTAAAATCACTGTTTTTTCAGTATTCCATTTTTTAACCATAGAATTTCAGCTATATTTTCAATTAACCTTTTAAATTTTGAGGTAACTGTAGACTTACATGCATTTGGGAGAAGTAATACAGAGAGATCCCATGAACTCTTCACCCAATTTCCCCAAAATAGCTTGCAAAACCATAGAACAGTATCACAATCAGGATATTAACATTGACGTAGTCAAGATAGAGAACACTGCCCGCATGTTGTCCTCTTATAGTACCTGCTTCCTTCTTTTCCATCCCCTCCTTAATTCCTGGCAACCATTATTAATCTATTATCAAGTTATATTATTTTGTTATTTTAAGAATGTTACATAAAGGAATCATACCGTATGTAACCTTCTGGGATCAGCCTTTTTTTTTTTTTTTTTTGTAAACGCAAAGTAATTGGAGATTCATCTATGTTGTTTTGTGTATCAGCAGTTCATTCCTTATTATAGTTGCTGAGTCTGTGACATGAATGTACCATAGTTTGTTTAATAATTCATCCATTCAATGACATATAGATTATTTCCAGTTTATGGCTATTACAAATAGTTATACACACAGGATTTTTTGTGAGTTATTTTTTGTGTAAGATGTAAGTTTAAGGTTCATTTTTTTAGCCTATGGATATCCAGTTGTTCCAGCACCATTTGTTGAAAAGGCTCTTTTTTCTCCATTGAATTGCTTTTGAATTCCCTATCAAAATCAGTGGAGCATATTTATGTGGTCTATTTCTTGGTTCTCGCCTCAGTTCCACTGATGTATATATTTATTTCTCCTCTAATACTACTGTCTTGATTACTCTAGCTATATAAAAGTTCTTGAAATCAGATAGACTGATCTCTCCCACTTTATCCTTGTTTGTCAAATTTGTTTCTGCTATTGTAGTGCATCTGCAGATAAATTCTGGAATAATCTTGTCTATATATGAAAAAGATCTTGCTGGGATTTTGATAGGCATTGTGTTAAACTTGCATATTAATCTGGGAAGAACTGACATCTTTATTGAGGCTTTCAATTTATGAACATGCTATATCTTTCCACTCATTTAGATATTTTAAAAATTCTCTTATTCATGTTATATGCTTTTGAGCATACAAACCCTGTACAACTAAGTTTTTTTTTTTTCAGATATTTTAAGTGGTATTATATTTGTAATTTTGGTGTTCACATGTTCATTGCTTATATATAGAAGGAGAATTAATTTTGTACATTTATCTTGTATTCTGAGGCCTAGCATAACTTATTAGTTCTAAAGGGTGTGTGTGTGTGTGTGTGTGCGTGCGCGCGCGCGTGTTTTGGTAAATTTATTAGGATTTTCTACATAGAGAATAGCATCTTTCACAAGGAGGGATCATTTTATTTCTTCCTTTCTGATTTGTATGCTTTTTATTTTTTTATTGCCTTATTGCAATGGCTAGAACTTCTAGCACAATGTTCAATAGAGTGGTGTATTAGTCTATTCTCATGCTGCTAATAAAAACATACCCAATACTGAGTAATTTATAAAGGAAAGAGGTTTAATTGACTCACAGTTCCACATGGCTGGGGAGGCCTCACAATCATGGTGGAAGGCAAAGGAGGAGCAAAGTCATGTCTTACATGGTGGCAGGCAAGAGAGCTTATGCAGGGGAACTCCTATTTATAAAACCATCAGATCTCCTGAGACTTGTTCACTACCGTGAGAAGAGTATGGGGAAATTGCCCCCGTGATTCAGTTATCTTCACCTGACCCTGCCCTTGACACGTGGGGATTATTACAATTAAAGGTGAGATCTGGTGGGGACACAGCCAAACTATATCAAGTGGTAAGAATTGACTTTATTAAGTTGAGTAAGTTCCCCTTTATTCCTATGTTTTTCTGACACTTTTTACCATGGATGGGTATTGAATTCTGTCAAATACCAATTTATGTGCCAATTAATAGGATCTTGTGATTTTTCTTCTTAAGCTTGCTAATATGAAGGATTTCATCAATTACTTTTTGGATATTAAACTAACCTTGAATTCCTGAAATAGACTTCACTTGGTCATGGTGTATAATTCTTTTTATTTAGAGCTGAATTCTATTTGCTAATATTTTGTTAGATTTATCTTGTTAAATCTAGATTTATGCAAAATCCTATTCTGTCATTTCCTTTTTTGTTTTGCCCTTGTCTGGTTTTGATATCATGCTAATAATGGCTTCATAAAATGAACTGAAAACTCCTATTTTCTGGAAGAAATTGTATAGAATTGGTACTAATTCTTCCTTAACTTATTGGTAAAATTCTCTTCTAAAATCACCTAGGCCAGGTGATTTCTTTTTTAGGGTTTTAAAACTATGAAATCAATTTCCTTATTAGTTACAGGGGTATTCAAATATTCTATTTCATATTGAATGAGTTGGGGTAGTTCATATTTTATTGAGGAAATAATCAATTTCCTCTAAAAAACACCTGGATACATGTGCAGAACGTGCAGGTTTGTTACATAGGTATATGTGTGCTATGGTGGTTTGTTGCACCTATTGACATGTCCTCTATGTTCCCTCCCCTCACCCCTCACCCCCCAACAGGCTCTGGTGTGTGATGTTCCCCTCTATGTGTCCATGTGTCCTCACTGTTCAACTCCCACTTATGAGTGAAAACATGTGGTGTTTGGTTTTCTGTTCCTGTGTTAAGTTTGCTGAAGATGATGGCTTCTGGCTTCATCCATGTCCCTGGAAAAGACATGATCTCATTCCTTTTTCTTTCTAATTACAAGACGATTTTTAAATTTATTTTTATTTTTAAGATTAAACATCCTCTTCGACAATCCAAAAACACAGTCCTTGCTCACTCAGGACACACACACCTAAAACAGTCAAAAGCGATTCCTCGATTTTCAATGACAAAGTAGGAAAAAAAGAAGATGTTCTCAAGCTGCAGTTCAATTTTTCTGTCCTCTTTTCCAAAAAATTTTACTTTGCTATCAAGTCCACCCACCAATGATAAGGAAAGACAATTTTTCGAAAAGCCAACAAAACCCAGAAAAAGGAACAGGTATCAATTCAAAATTATCACCTAAAACACTGCTGTTGCAAAAAAAGAGCATGAAGCCAAATTTCCACAGCTTGTTAGAGAAGACCTTTAAAAATAATTCAGAAAATTAGGACTGGAACTACAGTGGTACAGACAGGTTATACTGTCACTATATGCATATACAGTGGTAAATGCGGATAATTCAAGAACATTCAGATTGGGAATATATTAAGCTTTCTCCTATTCCAGCAGAGGAAATAAAAACGTGTTGCTGGAATTAATATTAAAATTGTCCTTACAAATAGAAGGTAGAGCAACGGTAAAGAGAGAGAATGTGGAACAAAAGTAGCAAAGACAAGTCATTTTGAATCTAGGCTCTAACACCCAGGAAAGTTGAATAGAACTTAAACTCTTCTAAGCCAGTATCACTAAATTCTAGATTTGGCCTGAAACCAGTGGACCATATACACTACTAATAAATATCAAGTGCCCCACAGCATTTGTGGTATTAAAACATATTTTAAAATTATTATAAATTTCCATTCTGGAAAGCAGGTCAAAATGACACTGGATCATCCAGTCAGTTACAGGGTAAAGGGCTTCCTCCAAAGAGAACTGACTTGGCAGAAATTTAGGTTGGTAGGAATGTGATTAATGTGGAGTAAACAAGATCAGATTCTCAGTATAATTTTCATAAGGCTTCTTCTACCTACCCCGGTTGTAAGGAGTAGTACTGAGGGAGCTCCAACAGAATGTCTTAGAGGGATGCTTCTCAGAGACAAAGGGTCTGTAAGTTTAACTCTTGACCCCTCTTCTTACGTAAAGCTTGGGGAAGGAAATAAATATTTAATTTTTAACTACTCAGAGCTTTGGACACATTATAATATTTAATATTCTGTAGTTTCATTTTCTGAACCCTTGGCTTATAATTTTTCTCAATTTACATTAAAAAATATATGAATGCACCCTCTTCAGTAGTACCACATGAAAATATAAACCTTTTCTTCCATATCTTCTACACAGGAAGAGTGAATGAATAGTACTCTAAATATCCTGCAGAGTTACTTTGTGTACTTGACAAAAGATTAGGGAAAACCAATCCACTTCCATATCTTGAGCAACTAGTTAACTAGTCTTCAATCTCATCTTCCAAAATATCTTCATCAACATCCACAGCATAAAACAGCTGGTTAAAACGTGGTGAAGCAGGATCAGTGAAATGTTTGTAAGGGTTTGCTCTAGAGAGAGAACTCATGCAAATCCAACAGAAGTATTGCATACAGCCAGTACATGTCATCTTGTTATATCCATCTAATTTCTCTATGGGAGTTCCACAACATGGTCAGTTCTTGAAGTTTTTCTCTGGCCATTCCTTACTTTCCATCTTTTCCAGTGCCTTCTGAATCACCCTCTTACCACACCTTTGTTCCAAAAGTCCTTTATTGGCCTCATCTGCTTGCAGGTATTCATTTCGTAAGTCTATTAATTTCTCTGCA